AAAAAAAAGATATACTTGACAATTTTATCAGTAAGCAGATAAGAATACTGATATGTCATCTTATCTGAGTAGATATACTATTCGTACATATAATTCTATGCACCAGTAATACACTCAGTACGGTTATTAAAGAGACCAACTTGCTAAGGGATTTATTATAGAATTGCAGACTTTGCAAACCAAGTTTATGTACTCGCTTAAATGTCGGCAATCGCGTACATTTATATAAAACCCGAAGTGTGTGAGGTCATATCACCTTATCGCTTATTGAAAAATTGATAATTACTTACGAATTGGGCAATTTTCGATAATACCTACAATGGAATTCTTTAATTTCCAATAAACTGCCAAATTTTCTAATATTTTTTAGTATCTGCGATAAGTTTTAGCTTCAGCACGTTTGGCTCTATTGCACCTTAAACGCGATAAAATTGTTAAAAAAATATAATCGTTTTAGTAGTGTTTCACTTTCGCGTTTGGTTATAAGCTATTTTTATTAAATAAATTAATTTTATTTCATAGTTTTATAAAACTAAATGCTATTTTAAGAAATAAAATCTTTAATTATTATATAAATAATTAAAAAGATTTGAATTCAAGTAAAACTTAAGTGTTTGTAAAATAAGTTTATGCTGTGGTGTTAAGGATATGTGCCTTTGCTTACTTACAAAATGGATAATTTCTTTAACAAAGTTTTAGGACGAAGGGTGAGTGTGTTGTTTAAGTATTCGATTACTTTTAAACAAATAAATTATACATAAATCATGTATAAAATTCTTAAAGTGTAAAAATGTATTGACGCATAACTTAAAATATTTAATTTTTACCCAGTGACTAATTTATATTTTAATATTTGTGTTAAAAATGTCAGTTTTTATATTTGATTTCCTGAAAGACGATAACTTATCGGAGTTCAAAATAATCAAACCATTTAAGCTTTTTTATTATCACTTCAAAAGCTTTCTATGCTTAATTTACATTATTAATACCTGAAAAAAATATGCCTACATAATTGTAAAAAATACACATACAGAGAAATTAAAAAATTTAATTAAATATTATTTTTATTAATTATACTTAAACATTATTACCTTAGATTAAAATATATAGAATTATTTATCTCAAATATTATTTAGAAAAAAAAAATCAGTTGTGATTCAGAGTACATTAAGTACAGTGGCGTAACTACAGGGAAGCAACTGGAAGCAACGCTTTCGGGCCCCCGAATTTAGGGAGCCCCACCATAAGTTTTTGTATTCATTGTATTTATTTTTAATAAATTCTCAAAAGTGGGACGAAACGTTTTTTGTTGGAATAATTTCATATTGCATTTTATAAAAGATACGTAAATTTTAAATTTAAAGTACATAATATGTAAGTACTTCAAATAAAATATTAAACCTATTTATAAAATAAAAAAGTTTTTCTAAGAAAAATATGTGTCTTAATGTGTCTTAATATGTGTTTATATGGAAGCTATATCTAGATTTAAACCCATTTGAAAATAATTTTGTACGTTGTCTTTTGCAAATATCAGTACTGTATACACCAAATTGAATTTGAATACCTTTATTAAAAAAGGGGAAACCTCATATCCGATTGTTAAGTTTATATCACAGTTACAAGAAATAGACGTCCAATTTCAACCAAATCAAATGGTGAACAAAAGTTTCATTCGAAGAGTTCAAAGCTGAGAAAGTAGTTTGAACTGAAAAAGTATGTATATATTGTACTGATATATACTTAATGGTATTTCCGACGTTTCCTTTAATGCGTTACGAAAATCTTGACAAACCTTATATATCCTTTTCACATTTTTTCGTGTAAACAGTATAAAAATAGGGGCCCCTTAATATGTTGGTAGGGGCCCCTTAGTTAGAATTTGCTTACAGGCCTAAAAAATGTAGTTACGCCACTGATTAAGTACATATTGATATCTTATTACAGGTAATATAAATAGGTATAAACGATATAAATTCAAGGTTCGAAAAAAATTCCCCTTTTTAAATAGTGTTTAGTAATATTGATTAATATGATTTTTTAATTGAATATAATATATATTTTATATATAGTAGCTTTATGTTTATGGAAACGATAACACACGCTATTATATATAAGTTTCTTAATATTTTATATAAAAAGTCATATAAATCAATAAACATTTATTGTTTATTTGTACACATATGCAGATAATTTAAAACAATATTTATGAATACAATTAGTATATATATATGTATTTATTATAATGAAATTAATTATGTAATATACATAGAGATCAATATCACAAAATTGTACAACCAATAACAAAAATTCTATTATAAAAATCATCGTTAAAAAAAATTGTGTTTATTTCCGAATAATTTCACGTCGCATAATAATTACAAATTCTGATATCCGAAGACTCCGGATATACAAAAAAACCGATTTTATTTTCAACACCGGAGACTTCGTTTACTATTAATCGGATTCTCCGAATACTCCGTAAAACCGAATATGAACAGCTCTAGTCTGTAGTCTCAATGCCGTGATGGGGAATTTTATGTATACGTATATATTATATACTTATGTACAATTACAAAAGTTATATACAAGTTTATAGGTACTAATAACATAAATTAGTTTTGTTATAGTTATTTTAAATTAGGGTTGGGCTTAACTATTTTCATATTTAATGTGTCATTTTAAGTGTTAACAACTTCGGTCTGAAAATATACATAGTTCGAAATTATTGTAATGATAATATTTTATATATAAAATGCTGTTGCATTTGCATTTTGCTTATTTTATTTTTGTAGTCAAAAATAATTGCTTGAAAATAGTCAAACAATTTCAAACCCTGGTTTTACCAACTAATGAAAAAAATTTCGGACCTGATGTTTTGGTAATTTGTTAATTCGGGAATAATGGAATTTCACAAAAATAAACATAAAACGTTTTATCACTTTACTGAGTTACCGAAAACGTTTGTATATCTGTAATAATGGCCTTAATAGTAGTCCAACTATAGTATATATCATTAGTACATATATTTTATAAGTGTACATAAAATATATGTACTAATGATATATACTATAGTTGGACTATTGTATAAATAGTCCATGTATAAATAATTAAAAAGAAAATATTCGATTATCAAGTAGCAATAATTCGATGTACTGATCGCTAAGATGATGTATCTCATATATTAAGATATATTGATCACCACCACTCTATATTTTTCAATTCTTCCAAATAGTGTTGCCATATCGTAAAGTTTAAATGTCCTAATACATATTTATTATTGTCATATATAAGGGTTTGTTGTTGTAATGCTGCACAATTTATTAACAACTAAATTATTCTAATATACAATGTTCTGACAATATCCTTGCTATTAAACTTAATATTTTAATAATATTGTGTTAACTCGATAACGTTTCTACAAGACACATGAAGTACATCTCAATATTATTATTAAAAAAAATTTATTAAGCAACCCTCGCTCAAACAAAGTTCAAACATCTAAAGCTTTAAAAAAAATCGCTTTTTATATTTTTGGATGAAGTACAATTGCAGAGCTTACATTTAAGCCATAAACACTAAAACTGTTTATTTTTTACAGTTTTTTTTTCGTACTATAGTAAATCAAAACAAAACTCAAAAACGCTCTCCGAAAAAGGCGAACAAACACAATGCACAACAAGAAATTAAGAGCGTAAATGCCGCCAGTAGGCTTTGGTTTGGTTTATTTTTTTTTTTTGCAAGAAAAAACACAAAATGTTTTGCTTGCAAGAGATCACAAACGAAGCTAAGTTTCATGTCAAGTTCAGTTCACATTCGTCGTTGGGAAAGTGTTGGGTGTAAACTAGTTCCTCGGAAGAATTGCGTTGAGTGTCGAGTAGTTAGCAAAGACAGAAACAACTAAAAACCGTACACGCGACAACAACAAAACCAGATAAAAAAAAAACAGATCAAAGACAGATGATTTGGAGTGTATGGAGTGCTTACTTCGAAATTTGCTTCGATTCATGGTACCATGAATGATGAAACGAAAGCGTGAAAAATAACTGTTTTTACTGAAGATTACAAAATGTAGAAGCAAAAACAATAACAAAAAGTATGGAAAATGTAAATAATATTGATCAATTGATTTATGGACGCGGAAAACTACGTAAATGAATGACGCAAATTACTGCTAATTTCCAACGGTGTTTATATAATATTTTTTGATTTTATTTTCAATAAATAATAATGTACATACAATCGGTATTTTCCGTATCTTAGCACTTTTCAATATAATGAATATAATGAATAAAACCGAATTAAATAAAAACGTTTTCAATCAACTGTGAGGTGTTAATAAAAAGCCCATAAAATCGTTTTAAGCATGTAACAAAAGTATATCTCGTTAATTTTGTTAACAACTGCAACTGTAGTTGAAAAAAAACACATATAAAATGAATAAATAGAATACTATTGTGTATTAAAGTGCGAATTAACACTTTTCTACTACCTCACAACAACAACAACAACAACAACAACAACAACAAATGCGAAGAAAATGTATCATACGGTACAATTCCTTGAGGCTCCGATTTTACTGCTTTGTGTAACGATATTTGCAAATTATTCAGTCGATCGTTGGCATTCGATGAATGAGTTTGTTTATCGATTGGAGTGGAAAGTTTATTGATATCGGTGCGGAATTTAATAATAATTTCAAATTAGATATATAATTAAATATATTAAAAAAAATTAATTTATTAACCTATATTGCATATTTGGTGTTATTTTTGTGATTTTATGCTAGTGTCTTGAAGAAACTGCAAAGCATAAACAAATGATACCCCGCACGACGCGTCTTCACAATAAACTGAAATTTTTTGCAGAAATTAAAATATTATTCAAATTTATTTGTAATTGATTTCCCTTCTCGTGTTTGAATATATTTTCTGCTACCTAAATTTTCAAATAAATTTTAAATGAGATTTATGTAAATTTTTATATGTCGCCAAATTCGTTTTTATTTATGAGTTTTTGTTTAAATTGAGAGAAAAAAATGAATTTCATTGGGCGACATGATCACTTGGCGGGTTATCAAAGGGTTAATACCGCGGCCTACGGTGTGCCGTTATGGAATAAGGACGATTCTGCAAATTTTGTACAGGATAGTATCTCATGGAAATGGCAAAAGGTGTGTAATAAACAAATTTTAAAAAAATAATAAAAATAATGATAAATATAAATAAAAATTATGATATATGAAAAAGTTAACGAAGTTAACTAACCCAATTATAAATTGTATTTATTCTAATATACATTTTTGTTAATTGAACCGGGGTAAAAGATAGTAATACATATTATTTTTGACAAATTTTTTGTTTATTTGTTTTCTAATCACTTATTTAGCACATACCACACTTATTTATTTCAAATTTTAGAAGATTAAATTAGGTACATTAATTTTTGCTGCTGGCTACACTTGATGAATTCTGCAGATTGAAAATTTGTATCAATTCTGCTTTTATTGAGTGGGTGTAGAAAAGCAAATAAGGATTTTGTCAAGTAATTTAATATGTGTTTTGTTATTAACAAATTAATATAAATTTTTAACTTTTGCTGTTCACTGTTCCCTTCTGACATCAAGAATGCCCATGTAAATATTAAAACGAAAAAATATAAAAAATAGAAAAATATTGTGTATATATTGGTTTTATAACTTTTACAACAGCATCAAGGCATGAGTAAAATTTCAATTCACTAAATGCAGAAAACTGTACGTAAATTGTTATAAAAACTAATTTAAATGCTTAATTTTACTCAGCTTTTCCTCGTTTTTACCAGGTCTGGTGTGTGTCTTTAGAACTAAAATATATTTATTATAAAGAGAATTTGTAGATATATTTATTTTCCAATGAAATACAAAATAAACAATATGTTAACGATTCTTTTCAAACAGTGCATATAAATAGCACTATTAAATTCATATACTCGTAATGAAAAAAAATTCTCATATTTCATTCACTTTTGTAGTCGGTGATCAAATTAGCTTAAATGTATACAAAATAATAAACAAAACCAAAGTGTTAACTATAGTAAAAAAACTGAATAAGAAGATAGGTGAAGTGGACGGAAAAATGCCTCCTATTCAATTATATAAGAAATCCATTTTCATTACACACCCCTCGTAACAGTAAGTAGAAGCATAGTTACCCACTGGATGCATTGATAAATGCAAGTACCGTTAAAGCGTGTTAATGAATGTGGAGCCTAATAGTTCTAGACATACCTGGACATAGACACAACAGGTCCAGGTGTATCTTTTTCCAGCTCCGGTAGGCATGTACTAAGAGATTCAAAATCGAAGGCCGCGCCTATCTCCATGTTGTCCTATAATTAGAAGAGGCAGTGGTCCCAGTGCAGGTTCTTCATTTAGGGTAAAGGCGATATGTAGCTTATGAACTCGCTGCTGATAAAATCAAAATAAAAAATATTATCAATAAATATTTGTTTACTTTCAAAATTATTTATATAAAAACGATTGTACAAATAATTTGAATGTTAATAATTAACAATGAATATGAATATTGAGTAAATATTTTTTAATGAATACAATTGTAAATAATAGTATCAGTTTTGTCCGTTAGATGAAAATTAAACCTAACATGAGCCCTTTGTGATACTACAAAGAATATTTAAGGTACTAGTTAAATTATATTCACGGATCATTATTAACTATCTTCACCGGATCACTGGTTGAGAATCATTCACTTAGATAGATAGAGGCCAAACAATTTTTTTATTCGATTTTTTTTTTATTTTTATACAAGTTTATTTAAATAAAGAAATATTAAATAAATAAATATTAAATAAATAAATATTAAATAAATAAATATTAAATAAATAAAATATGTGGTTAAGAGTGTTTTGTATATCTTAAACATTTTTCAAGTGTATTTGCAGTTTTTTATTTAATTTAAAAATTTTTTTGTAAGATTTTAGGTTGCGCCTTTTTCAACTCTTGGGTATATACCTCTGACCATTTGCTATTCTACTTTATATGTTCCAGAAGTTACTTGAACATGAGGGCTATTGGTAACAATTAGTATTTTCTATTTTAATTATTCGTTATTATAGTTAACAGTTTTAACTGATAGATATATTCTGAAGATACTAATAAGGAAGTTATTTTGGGAATTTCTTTTTTGCATTGCGTCTAATATACTATATATACAGTTAAATTTTCATAACTCGAAGTACCATTTTGCAAAGAAAAGGTTCAACTTATGGAGACGTCAAGTTAAAGAAATTTTTTGTATTTGTATGTAATTTCTTCTCTAAATTCTGTTGCACTCTATTCAGTTCGAGAGATGGAAATTTGACTACACTTTAAAAAAATTTATTAAATTAAATTTTACGTTAATAAAATTTGTATTTAATAATATCTGAAAAAAATAAATAAGATAAAAAATTACAATGTAACTGGATGTATAAAAATATTATTTTCGCGTTGTGAGGGTGTAATTCGATTATAATCGTGAGATTTCTTGCTTTGGTGAAATTAAAATTTATGTGAAAGTTTAAATGATTGATGATGAATAAAAAATAAAAACTATTTAATTGTTTTTTATTTTCGGTGCTCTTTCGGTGTTAAAATTTTCAGCTTTGTTTTATTTTGATTAAAAAAAATCTTGCCTGCAGAAGAAAGTTAATTGCATCACAGAAACTTAATAATAAATATTAAAATTAGGCATTTTATCTTAAATCAAATTTTTAAAAATTATTTAAAAAAAAAAATTACAATCACTTGTAGTATAAAATGGTTTGTAATATTTTTATTGACTATGAAAATTACACCAAAGTAAAGATCATGCATTTCAAAAAGCCTCGCGAAATGCTTTACTACCTCAAATGACTTAGGTAAATATTTTTTCAAAATTTAACAATATTATTACTATATAAAATAAAAAAAAAAATTGTGCGAATTTGTGTACATAATTTTAAAATGTATTAAAAACAAATTTAGGTGATAATTAATATAACTCACAGTAACGACCTGAAAGTTATTGTTACAATAAAAATCCCAAAAAAAAACAATGTAATCACAAGTACTCACAACTGTTAGAAAAAATGTAAATTATATAAGATACACCTCAAACACGTATATAAATACGTATATACATATATGACTTTTATATACATATTAGTATAGTATATGATCTATTACTGACTTTTTTTTGCGTTCACACAAAGTCGACATAAAAGCCCAATTGTTTAGAATGCTCAATTTGTTTGACGTTTGACGGTGAAAGGTTAAATGCTTTCTTATTTTATATTTGTTTAATGAATTTTTATTAATAAATAATTTTGCAATATTTAAATTTTTCATTTCTGCTGACGAATAGTGATGTAGAGATACACTCAAATGTACTAAAATTATATGACAAATTTGGCCTCAATTATTAATATTTGAACACTTTTTAAATGGGCTTTATTGCACACGAAAATTTTGCAAAAATATTTCTATAACTTCTCGTATATAATTAAATAATTTTGATTTATTTGTTATTAACTTAGTTAAAAGTCTTTATTTGTCTATTTAAATATTCAAATAAAGTTAGAAAAAAATTTATTCAAATATTTCCTTCATTCATCCTTCATTGATTTAACAGATAAAACATAAAGTATATTATATAAATATTTTTAATATTAATTTAATTGTATAAATTAAATGTTTATACAATCAAATATTTATACAATTCTTTTTTTATACAAGAAATCGTTTTTGGTGTAATAAGACAGCACTTTTGATCGCTTTTGTGTTATGTTCTTCCAATTTTTTGTGCTTTCAGTTAGCACTTTTGTTTGTTTTTAAAATTGTTCTTGTGCTTGTCTTTGTTACGCTTTGGCCTAGTTAGCTAGCACTTTCTTTTTATTTTGAGTGCTGTATTATATAAAACATTTTTATTTCTAATTTTTATTAAAACTATCTATTACTTTTAATTTTTTCAATATATTCGTTTAATAATTTATTAACGGGCTAATTGGTCTATTAAAATGTAGACCAGTTTTTTCATTTTTATTTAAAAACATTTTATATTTTATTAAAATATTTTTCCAATATTTCGACTATCTTCGATAGTCATCTTCAGGGAATGTTCAATTTTAAAGTCGTTTATTTTATACTCGTTTGAACTATATATAGCCTACATTGAATTAGTAAGGTCAAACCCATACAATGCGCCTTTTTTAATACATAAATATTTGTCTTTAAATTAAATTCAAATTTATAGTACAAATCAAATTAGCAGGCATGAAAAGTAACAAGATTGCGTTGCATAAAAAAGGGAAACCCCATGTGAATAAATTGTGATGCAGTTGAACTCAAGTGGAATTTTTACTAAATTTAATATGTGAACTTACAGATGTGAAGATGGGCAGTGTACAATTGAATTTTAATAATATTTGTCTTTAACGTTAAATTAAATAATAATTAAAAGAAAAAACTTTTTGTTGACTTTCATCAGATACCAATTTTAATTAATATAAAAATTAAATTACGATTAAAGATAAAGTTTAATTAAATTTCCTACGATTGTAGTTATTTAGATATACAATTTATGCTCATTAAAATGAATTGCAATAAATAATGTATATTATATTTGTATAATATTACGAAATAAATAAATAATGTATATTATATTTGTATAATATTACGAAATTATTTATAATTTATTAAAGTTAAAGTTAAATGAACTTAATCGACTAAGTCATTATATTTTGTAACTAGTAGAATTCTAATGTTGTATTTTTGTATTCAGAAAACTTTAAAACTGTTTTTATAATTTTGTTCGTAATAGATTATTTCTTTTTAACATCTATTAAATTTAAACAAAATTAGTCTTTACTTACATTAAAACTTCTACTCTGCGATATCGGTTTCGACTCGAAACTGACGACTATACGCGAAAGTTTATACCAAAAATATTCTCAAAACTGAAAAAATTTATGTGCGCCGCCTCCATCTTCAAAAAAAAAATACTGTTTGTGTTAGTTAAGAATTATAGATCCTTTATGGATAGATTTTACATCGTATTGTTTTACAACATCGTATTGTTTATATGCAGACCACAAGAATTCTGAAAAGGACGGTAGTAGTAAGCGTACAAATACCGCTGAAAAGTGCAACGACCTCATTCAAGTGAAAGTGAACTAACCTGACAAGATGACAATTATGTCAGGTTAGTAAGAAAAAGGTCCCATTAGTGAACAATAACTGATTGCCATAACTCTAACAAAAGTCATTACATGCCAGATCTAGTCTCAAAGCGTATTTTTCTAGTACGCGGCGATCCGTCAGTACTGATACTATAGTTTTGAGTATGTTACGTTTTAATTGAAGCAGCTGACTTATACATACGTTCTTAGTCATTTTCAACCAGATCAATCTTGGGATCTGACAGAAGTTTGCAGTTTTTTTTTTTAGTTGTACTCATATATTTTTGTCAATGTGGGTGTATAAATTTAAAGTAACACGGCCAAGCTACAATTTTTTGGATAATGAAAATTCTGCTTTGTAGATCCAAATAAAGGTGGGCAGTATGCATGTAAAATTCCTATCATCTCTTTAAACTAGAAATGGAGAAGCTGCAGGGGAGAAACAAGAAGAAAACTTAAAACTTTTTTTTTGCAAATGCTTGGACTTAACAAGACTAAGTCTTTTCAATATGGAAGTCCACGAACTAAGAAGCGTGACGGATATACTAAACATAGATCTTAAAAAAATGTCCTTTATCAAGCGTGCAGGTTGATTTTTAAGACTAAGATTTTTATAGACAGATTTTTTACAACAAAACATCAACTACGCTACTAAAATAGACCAACCCAAGACGTAATAAATACTTTTTTATATTTCTCCAAGGCTTATGTCATTAAAGTATTTTAAAGTAAATATTTGTAATTTAAAATTATTATTTGTAATTATTTTAAACGCATCTGAGCATTGCTTGCATGTCTAAACTAATTTCTTAATATTTTAATTTTTATATATGTATGGTATAATACATTGAAAAATTACAAAATTGCGAAGTTTATAAATTTTTTATTTTTTATTTATATAATCAAAAATTAAAATAATTATCGTGTTAAAGAGAGCGCATTATCCAAAAATAATTAAATTAATTTGCCATCCAAAGACAATTTCATTAGTATAGTTTTTGCTTATATGGTTACCAATTATTATTTATTAAATTTCTATAAAAAGCTATTAAAATAAAAACAATGTAATTATTTTAAAAAATAATTAATAAAGTATTAAAGACTTTAAAGAGAACTATTTAAAGAAATTGTTAACAAATATTTATTTAAAATATTAATATAAGAACTTTTCATAAATACACTTCTTTTTTTAATAGAAATATTATACAAATTTTTTTTAATAATAATTCATTTTAATCATATTTGATTTATCAATGATATAAAATATTAAAATAAAATTAAATATAACTTTTACGACATATCTTTAGCTGGCTTTCTTTTTTATAATAAAATCATTAATTATCTTATCTCATTCGTATTTTATTCGTAATATTTGATAATAAATTTTTTATAAATTTTCTATGTAATAAATTATATTGGTTTTAATTTAAATTTATTAATTTTATTTTTTTTATTTATTTATTTTTTAGGGTTCACGCGTCAGCACAATAAATGACTGGTTACAGATAAAAATTGGCGGAGATGATGAAGTTAAGAAGAAGAAGGGAAATAAGCAGTTTAATCGCATCAAATCTACAAAATATACATTAATCACTTTTTTGCCACAAAATCTTTTCGAACAATTTCGACGAATTGCCAATTTTTATTTTTTAGTAATGACAATAATTTCCCTTCTAATTGGTAAGCCTATAATATATATTACTAAATAATTTATTTAAGTATTATAAAATAGAACCTTATCAATAATTATAAAATATAAATCATTGATTTATAAAATGAATTACATATATATATATTTATATTCAGTTCTGTGTACGACACGTGTAATAAAGGTGTTAATTTATAAAAGTATTATATATTTTTTGATCATGCCATTGATCATTACTTGAACTTGATGAAAATTGATTTGCAGTTCAAAAACATATATAACCTTAATAATGATTTCTTTAAACATTCAAAAACTCAAACAAAATCAGATTCTTTACATAATTTATAATCTCTTCTATAAAAGAGGATAATGACTTTAATGATGTATATTATATTTATTAATTTTAATATCAGTGATATTTATAAGTTCGGTTTTGGAAAAAGAACAGAAAAAGAAACTTAGGTTTATATCTCAGTTCGAAATTAGAAAATCTTCAACGTTAGGCATCCATGCTTTTTTCTTGGAATATTCTTGGGTTTTATGATTATAAAATATCAATCTTGGTCTTAGTGTTCAAGTCCGTCGGGATTCTAGTACTCTTTTTATTTCCATCTATCCTAATATCTTTTCATTCTAAATTATTTCAGTGTTTTGCATACTATGGTAGCGACATATGTGTTCTGTTATACGATTGTAGAGAGTATTAAAGTTGTTAATTTAATTAGATTTAATAAGTATTTTCTAGTCAGGAGATCTATTGGCAATTATCCCAATTGTTAATGATGAGGCTTCGTTGATGTACTGTGAAAATTAAATGATATTTGATAAATGCCGGAAAATAAGAATGTATACTATTTTTAAACCGACTTTTTTTATTGGAAAGCACCGTTAAATATTATATATCTCTGCTAATCTAACAGAAGAGTGTTTATTTAAAAGGTCTACAAATTTAATTTGAAAGAAAACCATTATTTATTCGTTACATAATTTTATGGTATTAATGATTAAAAATGATTTTTTGATAAGTCTTAGAAACTTCCTTTTTCCTTATCACCAATTGTCCATCGTTTTATATAAGCTTGGATTTAAGGCTATATTTGATCAATGACGATGGTTACATATATCGATCAATATTTGATTTAAAGGCTAAAATCAATGTTGACTCTTCTTTATAGATCAATGACTTAAAATATTTACACAAAAAGTATTTTGACGACGTACATTTGCTTAATAATTTATTCATTTACAATAAAACAGTGTCATTAAAACCAAAAACTATCCAGAAGATTTTCAACCATATATGCGAATATAAATTTTTGATTTAGGGTCTTCTTCGGAAACCATCCCTATTTTCTTAATTTCTGAAGAACTATAGGCTAATAATATCACCAGTACAAACAGTGCAGAAATGTTGATTGTCTTTAAAACTTCGTTAATTCAATTGTGACAATTTTGTATATAAATAAAGCAACTGAGAAGTTTACTATAGTTCATACCCATCGGAACATATCTCTTCTTTGCTTGATAAAACGCTAGTAGTGTCTAAAGTACATTTAGTAAATAATGTCTGTGATCATTTGGATCATTTGTAAAAGGGGTTCTCTTGAATTTTGATAATAAGTTATTCAGATGGATTTATAGTAGTATAGTTTGAAGTCCAGAACATCTTTTTGACGGAATAGAACTATGCCTACCAGAAAATACTCATGAAATGACCTCTAAAGAAGAGTAATAATAGTTTAAAAAATCAATGTAGGATGTAAATACATCAAGAAGAAAAGGTATTAGGCTTATGAAAAGTAGAACTTTTAGACATAAAAAGTAGAACTTTAAAAGATTCGTTACAAATTCTATAAACCTGGCAGAAGCTTCTGGTAGTAGTTCGAGTAGAGCAGTATTTAATTAACCAGTCTATCCTAATCGCTATCTATTCGTTGCCATTCTTCTAAATTTTCTCATTGCTCTTAAGTTGATGTATACTGCATTGATTCATATTTTTTTGCATGTTTTCTTCTTTTCATAATAGGTGTTCTAACAAACTCTTGTTTTTTCCTTCTAACAACCGGCTTTATTGAAAAGTCATTCCATCTCCTTATGTGTTGGGATTCGACCATTTTTTTTTTTTTTAGTTGTAGCAATTTTGAAGTAAGTATTATGTTTATTGTATATAGCCACAATTTTTGGTAATATCGTGTATACATATATAACATATATGTAATATATGTTTTTATATATATATATGAAAGTGACATAGTCGTACCCCTAACTAATATACCTCAAATATATAATGTAGTACATACACTTCCATATTTAATGTAAGCATGATCTTAAATCGAATCAACGCTTCTATTTTAATATAAACATAATCTCAATTGGAAGCAACGCTTCTAATTTATTGTAAACATAAGCTCAGTAGAACAAAGGCTGGAAATGATGCCTGGAAATTGCAAGTTCAGCATTGATATATCTTTTGTGAAACATTGCCTTTATGGTAATGTTTTGATGCGAAGTTAGAAGTGATGCTAAGATCTTAAGATTTAGACATAAGTTATTATTTTCATGATATACATTAAATAAAGACTAATCAAACGAATCGCTTGTGTTCTATTTTTATTTAAAAGATAATACAATTTATAACTTGTATATTATAATATATAATAGTTGCGGGTTGTAATCACTTTTTTACTTCACATCCATAGGTAATAGTAATGAATTAATGTTATTTAATCCGATAATTTATAAGATATTATAGCACTGATATTTACCTTATACCTCGCATTCCACTTAATTGGTGTATCCATCTTATTATTGGTTACAAAAACAAATTTTCGTAACAATTTATAAATATTTTTATAATTAATTAGCTATAATTGTTTAAATAAGCCAATTATAGTTTAAAATATTATCGAATGAGTTTATCTATTTTTAAAAAACGAAAGAAAAAACCAAAAAATTATTATAAATCAATTATCTTAGAAAAGTTACTAATTAAATTATGAAACTGATTTTGAACTTGTTTTTTCCAACACGGAATAAAGTTATTTCTCATTTGCTGAATTATAGGAAATGCCTCAGAGTCTCTGGCAGATTTTACACGCTTCTGTTAATTTACTTCTGTCTTACAGTACAACCTTGACCATCACCTCCTAACAAATGCTCGCTATACATTAATAATGGGAATGAATCTTTATTAATTTTTATTTTATTATTTTACTGCCTTTTTTATTGACTCTTAAGATATGTATATATACATATATATTGTATAGATGCAATGCAAAATGAAAATCAATTATGCACGCGTTCCTCATTGCTTCGGCGTAGCCGTCGTATCGAATCTAACTATGAAATATGACGACTACTTTCAAATTAATGCAAAAACAAATAAAAGCCATACTGAGAAATTTGATAGAAAAAAGATACTTTCGTCTATATACCATATTGCGCAATTGGCTGTGACTTTTTCCTATTAAAGATCTATTTTCAGTACAATTTCTACTGCTCGTATTACTTCTCTTCTCTGCAGTTTAATATTTTTGTGTTTGTAGTTGGAATTTATGTGTGACATTTCTATACGAAATCAATTAAAAATCGTTGACGTGTTTTATGTTATTTCAGATGTTTAAGTGCAATTGAACTTTTCTTTTTTTTTTTTATCTTTTTTATTTTTTAATAAATAAAAATCTTCACAAAGTCACAAAAAAAAGTTGGTGGCATGAAATTTTGAAGTCAAGTGGCATTTCACTCTGTTGTTCGGAAATATTACATAAATGGAACGCCCACAAGTATCTTCAATCTGTAAATTTATAAACAAAAAAAAAATAAAAAATATAGATGTTAAGTACTTATTTGTTTTTGTTATCATGATTTAAGTTGAAAATAAATAAATAATAAAATTAATTAATATATAATTATTGAAATGCAATGACTAGACATTTTTTATAATACATACTTATGATAACAAGATGAAAACAATTATAGTAATATAATGCCTTAACTGTTTTATGTAATACTTGTGAAAATAAGATATTTAAGATATTTGCAACTGAAATATAAGAATAGAAGAACCCAAAGCTTGTGTAATTTCTCTATATAACACTGTTAGTTTAGCCATTTAATGCGTCTTGGTACAAAATGTATTTGTGGGTTCCATTATTCAATCTATTTTCAAAAGATAGAGTTTTATTGTACATTGGCGCGAAACTCCAGGTAATCGCTAGGCAAAAGATCTAACACATCTGTTCAAATACAGTAGGGTTATCCTCCTCAGCAGAACGAAACTAAGGTTGTTGACAGGTTATCTCAAGGGTCATAATGGTTTGCGTTGTCAACTGAATAAGATGGATTTGTGTAAAGGGATAGAGTGTCGTCGCTGCTTGGAAGAGGTTGTGACCTCTAGTTAAATTCTTTACTAGACTGTCTGGTCGGTCCGAAGTTTCTATACCCCTCGGAAGATAGGATGTTTTTAACAGTTAACAGTATTTATAGTGTTTTCTGTTTAGTTAGGGTCGAAAAGATCAATAATGGTCACAGAGTCTGCTCCTCGAGCACAGTAAACCGTATATTTGCAATTTTATTCTTCACTTAAAATAGTCTTTCTTTAAACATGCTTTCAACGCATACATTTAATGCAGATGTTGATAAATGTTTACATAAAATATGAACTTATTCTATTATCTCAAAGGTCTATTGCAGTGGCATCAAATTTTGTTAGTTAATCTGTCATTGTACGTTAGCGACTTATCTCTTATTATAAAAAAAGTATTTATAATGATATGAAAAAAATGTAGAATAAAGTATTTATCTGCTATTGATATAAGGGGCATACGGGGCTATTAACGAAAATTTGGAAATTAAACCGGAGCTAATACCCAAACAAAGTGTATATAGAGCTGCAAACTACATCTAAAATCTTCGGCATAATGTTTTAATTTGTTAATTGACTTCAATATAGAATGTTGATTTAGACTAATACAGCAGACTAACATATTGAGAAGCCTTTATCTACAATATGCGTCTCAACTACAACTCTGCCTTTCTCGACGTTGTACATCTGTTTTCTTGGAACATGGTAGGTCCATATGAACGCGAATAAATCGAGTCAAGTTTTGATTACGGCTTTCAATAGTATCTTATAAAATCTGTCTTTCTTATATTAGTTTTAACTATTTATTAAAGCAAAACAAAATAGGTTCTTTATATATCTTAGGTATTTTAACGAAATAATACTATTTGTAGCTTAAACTTTATACATTGAATTATAGACATGTATGGTCTTTTTTGTTTAATTCTACTTTGCTTGCAATAAAATAAACACATAAAATTATTATAGTTTTGCATAAACTACATTAAGACCCAATATTGCTGTTGTATCAAAATTCTTATTTCTATTGAGCTATTGAACGCGTACTTATGTGTGCTCAAACTATAAAATATGATGGGTCGTAAAATTCTCAATGAAAGAAGACTTTGTTGCAGATTCTAGTTCAAATTATGAATATTGTTGTTTGTTTGGATAAACGTTTATTTTTTGAGTTTCGAAAGAAATAAAATTTTAGTTTTTTTTAAAGAGTTTTTTTTTATGAAATAATATATTGGAATATAAAATATTGAGAACAGAGATAAAACAAATAAATAAAGATCAATAAAGATTATTGAGCAATATTTTTCAATTTCTTAATACTTTTACCTAATATTGATAATTATTAGATATTTTTATATAAATGATATTTAATAACATAATATCAACGTGTTTTAGATGTACTACCAGTCCTAGAGTAATTGAGATTCAATTTTTGTTAACTTTTGGTTGTACCTATTAGTGAGCAAAGGCGAGCCATCTTACGGGAAACTTTATCCAAATCTAGTTAGGGTTACTGAAACTAATGCAAATATAATCGTAAAAAATACCACATCTTTAAATCTGTTAATTTTTTGGCGAAAGTAACCATTGCTTTGGTACTGAACAGTAAGAAAAACTTAGTATAATATAAATAACTAAATAAGAGTATAATACAATCCACAGAGATAGTTAAATTTAAGATGAGTCTTATACTATATTATAAAAAATTAGCAAATTCATTTAAATGCTCTATAAAGCTAATATGGTGGGTTTGTTAAGATGTCATTGTCAGATAATAAATCATATTAAGACATTTAATATGTATATACCCTTGAACCATTCCTGTCGCCGACGATTTTCCTCTGAAAAATTCGATTGATACGGTTAAAATCCGTTTTATCGATGTTATTTTTATTAAAAGTTGCTAGGCATATATTTTCTAGAGGATCTTAATCAGCTATATGACCTACTGTTAAACAGCATTTTAGACTTTAGCAAACTATAAAATGGTTTGAACCCTACCAATTCTACGGCAACAAATATGAATAGGTCTAAATGATTTAATAATTCAATCTATGAAAGGCTGACCATTTATGCTTAAAATATGATAATCGTTCACAGAAATCTATAATGAATAACAACCCCATTGTCACCCGGACCAAAGAACACTTATGTTACATTTTTTGTTTATGTTGTATCAAACATTATACGAAGCACAGACATCCTATAAGCAGATACGTCATATAATATAAATGTTTATTAAAATTTTAAAATATGCTCATTCAGAGGCCCTTTAATGTACATCATCCCATCGTCATCCACATGTACATATACGGTACTATAATTTAAAGATCCCGTATCTTTAAGTAAATAGATATGATTGTAATTTAAAATAATGACTTTAAAATAATCAATAATGACTTACTTATTGACCGACATTGATGCTGTTCTGATTGATTTTGTTTTGCGTAGGATTTTCTTTGCCACCATCTCTTTCGGTCAATATTAAAAACATCTCGATTTTTCATTCCCTAAATTATGAAATCTTCTCCCACAAGTATGCCATTTTGTTAGAAAATGTATGTTGAATATATTTAACTATATTGCATTAAGTTCCATCTTTATTTATCTCTTTCCATGTATTTCCTATGTCATATAAAAACATTAAAAAAAAACTACTTATAGGTAATTAAATAAAATATCAAATCTATATTCGACCATTAGCTCTTTGCTTATGAGATCAGCTCACCTCATTATTTTGTTACAATTGTTCACGCATTTTGAATAATTTTTTTACCAAATTTTAAATAAAAGTACAAGTTGAGTAATCATTAATGACTTTTTTTTAATTTTTTAAAAATCTTTTTCGTTTTACAGACAGTCCGGTATCGCCGATGACATCATTCCTGCCATTAGTTTTTGTGATCGCTGTTACTGCAGCAAAGCAAGGCTATGAAGATTTCTTGCGTTATAAGACCGATAACATAGTTAATCGCTCACCAGGTGGGTACACGCATTTATAAATTGTTTTATAATTTATGTATATAAGTAAAAAATAAAATCAAAAAAAAAATAAAAACATAATAGTAATAATTATCCAAGCTAATTTTAATATTTCATATTTGACTTTTTCTTACAGTGACGGTGATACGTAATGGTGTGGAAGTGAATATACAGTCACAATATGTATCTCCGGGTGATTTGGTTGTTGTGGAACGTGACTGTGATGTACCATGTGATTTAGTTTTGTTGCGTTCATCAGATCCACATGCAAAATGTTTCATAACGACTGCCAATTTAGATGGAGAATCCAATTTGAAAACGTTATTGGTGCCACGTGATTTACCTTTGGTTGAAATCAATAAAATGCACAAATTGGGCGTTATTGAATGCGAGAGCCCCAAGACTGATCTCTACAGCTTTAATGGTAAAATAGAATTATCTGGTGGTGAAGGACGTGTACTGCCACTATCAGCTGAAAATGTATTGTTACGTGGTTCGCGTGTTAAAAACACGGAATGTGTAATTGGTTGTGCAATTTACACAGGCATGACAACCAAATTGCAGCTGAACAGTCGTCTCACTCGTAACAAATCTGCCTCCAGTGAAGTTTACATAAATCGATTTCTAATTTTTGTATTAATTGCATTGATTGTGATTGTCACAATTTTATACTTTTTAAAACGGTAACATAAATTTATTTCAATTGATTTAATATATTTATTTTTGAATACTTTTTTTCTATTTTAGTTATGATGAACTTTATGTAATACCTAAGCTCTCTTATTTGGGACCACCAGCGGATGGTTATAGTGTTAAACAGTTTCTGCAGGATTATCTTTCATTTCTCATACTTTTCAATTACTTGATTCCAATTTCATTGTATGTAACAATTGAAATGCATCGTGTTATTGGCGGTTTCTTTATGGAGTGGGATACACAATTATATGATGAAGACACAGATCAACCTTGTATAGTTAATACATCAAATCTGAATGAGGAACTGGGGCAAATTAATATATTATTCTCTGATAAAACGGGTACTTTAACAAAAAATGAAATGATATTCCAACAGTGTTCAATTAGTGGACGTAAATTTGTTTATAAAAAGACGCGATTGCAAGAAGAGGGTACTGGAGCATTATTCGATATAAACAAATTTAATGTAAGTATATGTAATGAGATATCTTTTTCATCTAGTGATATAGTAGTGAGGTATATAATATATGTAAATACTATATATTGCATATATCAATCATATAATCATATCAATCAAATCATATATTTATATATATAATATTATATATATATTATATAATATATAATATATATAATATATCTTGATGTTTTATTTATATATTTTTATTTTTTTAATTTAAACTGACTTATTTTTAACCGTGTTTTAGTATTATTTAGAACTGTTGTTTTTTAATTTTTAGAACGATCAAAAAAATTTCTTTCAAGCTCTTGCAATTTGTCACACAATACAAGTAGCTGGAGACACAAATTCCACTACCAAAGAGGAAAGTAAAGATGGTAATGCAATATCTGGCTTAGCTAAAATGTATTCGATTTCTGACATCACCGAAGAGTCACATACATCTAGTCAACAAAGCGATGTTAATTTGGATAATTCAAATATATTAGAAACTTCACTTTCCACAAATCCTAATGGTAAAGTGAGTACCACATCTGATGTTAATCCATTACTCGACGATAGCAATAAAGTTGAACGACGTAAGCGTCCACAAATAGTTAAACGTAGTCCAAATTTCGCACGTCCTGCTACACGTGTACATCCAGTTACTATATCCTTGCCACCAGTGCTTAATACAAATGGTAATGTTTTAGAGATGGTGAATGGATCAACTGAACGGCCTGTATTGTTTCCAAGTTCATTGCAAAATTTGCCGAGTGGTCGACCAATATCTATGCAATTTAATCGTTCTACTTCAGAAGTGGATTTACCGGAATTTGGTAGTAACGCTGTCCACGGTCATAGACGTTCACAATCATATGGTGCACCGGGTGCATATATTACACAACAAGGTAATGAAATTATCTTAATTTATAATTAATAATTCGCAGTGAACTATTTGCTTTATGCTCGCGCTCAAAACTTTTTAAAGATCGTACCTATACTAAATTGATATATAATTATATTTATATGAAATTATATAAAATTCTGTTAATTTAAATATATATAGTTAATAAACATATATAAAAATAATATCATTGTATTTCATTGTGTAGGAAACCCAGCAGCAGCTGTTATTAATCGAACTTCGAGTACAGCTTCACGAGAGTCTTATGCCGCTCCAAATTTCCAAAGACAACCTACTATTTTAATACGCAAAGAATCACAGCGTCGGAAGAATGAAATTGAACAAGTTGTACAGTAAGTATTCTATTTAAAAATATTTAGAATTTGTAAAGCTTTAATCATTATTTATTTTGATAGTGAGATGGATTACCAGGCTTCTAGTCCAGATGAAAAAGCACTTGTGGAAGCTTGTGCACATTTGGGTCTTGTATATACCGGAGATGATGATGATATTTTACGTGTACGCATTGTGCCACCACACATGGATTATACAAGACCCTTTAGTGTGGGTAAAACCAATGAAATCCATTTTGATCGATTACATATCTTAGAGTTCACATCCGATCGTAAACGTATGAGTGTTATAGTCAAGGATGAAAATGGCACAAAATGGATCTATACTAAAGGTGCTGAAAGTTATGTTTTTCCCTTGTGTGCAAATAGCTCGGCTGATATGATTTCTAAAACAGATGCACATATTAGCGACTTTGCGAGACATGGCTTAAGAACACTAGCTATAGCACGTAAACGAATAGCCGAAGCTGATTATCAACAATTTTTATTGGAACTTAGTGCCGCTAATAGTTCACTGGAAAATCGTAAAGAATTAAGTGAACAGTGTTATGCTAAAATTGAAAGAGGTATATATTATTTAATGCACTAGTAAAAATGATCATTATATATTAAATGTTCATTTACAGAACTAGATTTGCTTGGTGCAACGGCAGTAGAAGATGCATTACAAGATGAAGTTGCTGATACCTTGATCTCACTGCAAAAAGCTGGTATAAAAATTTGGGTGCTTACAGGTGACAAAGTGGAGACTGCATTAAATATTGCACTATCTTGTGGTCACATACCGCCAAATGCTATAAAGTACTTCATAATGGATTGTACACGAAAAGAGGATATGTTAATACATTTAAATGCATTAGATCGTGAAATAGTTTTCGGTATAGGTACCGACTGTGCGCTTTTGATTGATGGTAAAAGTTTAGCTGTTGCTTTGGCTGAAACTCCAGACGAATTTCGGGATGTGGCTATTAAATGTACTGCAGTACTTTGTTGTCGTCTCAGTCCATTGCAAAAGAGTGAAGTAGTTGCTTTAATAAAAACATCAAAACAAAACTATAATACAGCAGCTATTGGGGATGGGGCGAATGATGTATCTATGATTCAAGAAGCACATGTAGGCATTGGTATTATGGGTAAAGAAGGTAGACAAGCAGCACGATGTGCAGATTTTGCTTTTGCGAAATTTTGCTTTTTAAAACGTTTGCTATTGGTACATGGACACTACCACACGACACGTTTATCATTTTTGGTGTTATATTTCTTCTATAAAAATATTATTTTCATGGGCATACAATTTTTGTTCCAGTTCCACACACTGTTTTCATCATCTTCTGTTTATGACTCTTTGTTCTTAACATTGTACAATGTCATATATACATCTTTGCCAATATTCTTTATATCACTGACTGAGAAACCCTACACTGAAGAAACTTTATCAAGGTGAGGATAGGTTTTTTTATTTTATTTATACAAAAAAGTTAATTAAAACAAAACTTATTTTTAAATAATTATTTCTTATTACAGACAACCGGAACTTTATAAAAAGAACACACACAATAAGCAACTTCATTGGCCCTATTTCTTAGCTTGGACGATCAATGGTGTTTATCAATCGCTAATAATATTTTATTTTGCCTACTTCGTATTTTCCACAAATAATGTCATATTAAATATTGGACAAACTGCTGAATTTTCATGTTTTGGAGCTTTACTGATCGAACTGGTAGTCATTGTAGTTAATCTAAAAATATGGCTTGAGTCAAAATATTTAAGCTACTGGTACATTGTAACCATTGTTGGTTCCATACTAGCTTTTATGGTTACTACGCTTATTTACAATTTCATTAATGTGTAAGTTTATTTAAATTTTATTTATTTTTATTTTTTAAGAAATTTTTGGTTTAAATTTTTCTTATTTTCTTTTATAGCCAATATGATACTGATTTTTACTATTCGTACAATTACCTTTTGAGTTCTTTGCCAGTTTGGTTGTTTGTCATATTAACGACAGTGGCTTGTTTGGTGCCGGACTTTACATTTAGAATGGCAAGAAAAGGTCTTAACTTACCAAAGCGTAGCTTTTATCCTGGCAGAGATCGTTTACGTAGACAACAACTACGTGAAAAAGTCAACTCCACACACTTGTAAGAACAGATGACTATAAGAACATGACTACACACATATGTCTTTACTGACTCCGAACTTCACATTTAATATGGAAATAAAATTTCTAAGCTTACCAAAGCATAGCTTTCTTCCTGTCAGGAAACGTTTACTCAAACAACTGTTAAGTGAAAAAATTAACTCTGTACACTAAAAACAACAGATGACTACATCTTTATAGACTACATAAAAGGGTAAACTCTACACATTTATGAGAACATATGTCTTCGCTGACTGTGGATTTTACATTAAATATGTCAAGAAAGATCTAAACTTACCGAAGCGTAGCTTTAATCCTTACAGGAAATGATAACGTAGACAAAAGCTACCGGAAAAAGTTGACTCTTCAAATTTATATGAACAGTTGATTTTATCTTTTTAGACTACGTGAAAAAGTTAACTTCATACAGTTATAAGAAGAGATAACTTCATCTTAATAGACTATGTACTGTTTTTCATTCCGATTTTCGTTTTTGTAAAATATTGTTGATAGAATAGTGTTACTTAAGTTAAGTTATGTACAGTGATAACTTTCTTAGTAAGAAAGTTTTTAAAAACGTGCCAAATATTGTATTTATTTACAAATTAGTATAACGTATTTTTAAGTATAACTATATAAATTTATTATTTAATTTATTTAATTTTTTTTTAATTTTTTTTAAATTTTTTTTTAATTTTTGACGCCATGACAGAATCAATTTTGTATTCAGTTTCAATAGTTTCTTATAGATTTCTTTTGTAAAGTATTAACGAAAAATACAGATGCTATTTAGAATTATTATTTTAGATAGTTCATTTATAAATTAAAAAAAAAATGTGTTAATGAAAAAAGTTTTATTAAATTTTTAGTTTTTAGAAAATATTTTTTTATAAAAATGTACGCTTAAGTGAAATTTAATTTACGAAGCTATTAAATATCATTAAAATTTTATTTATTTGAATATAATTAATGATAATTAAGTTGAATATAACGAAAAAATAAAAAGTTTTTATTTTACAATTTTTGTGTATAATTAATGTTCATTTATAATATGAAAGTAGAGATGTGATTTATTTATTCTGCAAATAAGGTAATGTAATTTTTGATATAAATAGTATTAATAAGTAACGAAACCTTACTTCTTCATTATGAATGAACAGTTTTAATATCATTGTGAGAGAACGAAATCCACACAATTAGCACATGTCGCTTACCAGCCAACTACCAATTTTAAATTATTCTAATGCAATAAAACTGTTAAATCTATACTGGCATAAAAAAATTCTATTTCTAAAAAAAATTATGTTTTTATTTGAAACACGCACCAAAGAGAGTTTATATTTTTTATTAAGTAAGTTGTTTATATATTTTTAAAAATTTTCTAAAATAATTTATACATTTAATAATTTTTTTTTATTAAATTCCATTAATAATTTCAAAATTTAAATTGAGCAAAATTTTACAGAGCGTTTGAGGCATAATTAAGTTTAATATAATAAGTATATCTAATAATTATAACAATAATAAAACATTTTAAATAGGTAAATATATAACAACATTCTTTTTGATTAATTAAATTACATAAATTGAATAATATGATTGTTTTGAAATACATTGTTCCAAGTTTTTTATATTCGTATATATAAGTTCGTAAACAGGTATTTTTAATTATTTTTTTATTTAATATTTTATATTACATTGTGAAAAAATATACAACAATAATATATGTTGAGAAAAACAATTTAATAAATATTAGATGTGCTCTACTTGAAAATAGATTTGCATTCATAAATATTTACAATTTTTGTAGGAATTCTTTAGTGTACGTAGGTATATATTTGTACGTATATGTGTCTTGTTCCAACTGTGTGTCCTTAACCTTAACCTCAAAATTTGAACTTTTGTTACATTTGTTTTATATCAATTAAATCTCATTTTTTTTACCCTGAAACGTTACCATAAAACTTCTTGTCACTATTACCTATCTAAAGTGTATATATGTCTATATATGTGTATATATATGTTTCATTCCGATATGATTATTCTATATTGAAAATCAGGTACACTCTCCCGTTTGACGTCTGACTCATTTATTTTACAATTCCACAGATTTCAGATTTTTTTACAAATCTAAGCTCCAATAATTTTCTTAACAGAATATCCTGGTACTGAATACACGAAAAGTATAAAGAATAAAGCAATACCACAAAGAAGAAGGGCTTTTAGTATAGCCCATTTATAGTTATGCCAAACAATATATCTTATAGACTTGAGAGGATTTAGGAACCACATAAATGAAGCATCTGGACGACTGAAATTAAGAAATAAATTTAGTATTTATTAATAAAATTTAAGAAAAATTCGTAGTACTTTGGTTTCTCTAAAGGGTCGGGCTCATTTCGTCCATAACCAGCTGGATTTTGTTCAGCTTCTTCTTTGGTTAGTAAGTGAAATTCAGCTTCAACTTTACCGGTCAATTCCATTTCTTCATTCTGCTTTTTGATATAGAACGGCCACCAACCGCGTACACGTTTTTGTTTGAAAATATTAACTGTGGGTACATTATCTGTTTTCAGCATATCTAAAGTGCATAACTTCGATGTTTTCGCACCACGTGGAAAGCGGTTTAAGTTAAAGGAAATGGCACCTATACAGAATGTTTTGTAGAGTACGCAAAAATATTTAAATACTGTCAGACAAACCTAGAAAATCATCTGCTGAAAAGTGATCTGCATCCCAAACTTGCAATTCTAAACGTGCTGGAATTTTTACTTCCGTTTCATCCCAACTAAATAATGATTCACGTCTTGATAGCACAATTCGTTCTTCCGCTGCTAAGTACTCAAATGGAAAAATGAATCGCCAATTGAAATTACCCTCACCGGTTAGGGAGCGATAATGTATATCTGTGGATTGTATATCCTGAGGACCTTTTAGCCAACTGTAAGTAATGTTAATTTGTGAAATTTAAATTTATTTGCTTATATAGAATTAGAATAACATACCCTTTAACATAAATATCTGACATTTTCTCGCCAGTAAAGAAGGCATCATCTTCTAGCACCACATCATCAGTATTCCAGATGACAACACGCAGTTCATATGCTTTGGGTTTTCTTGGTGCTATATCCACAGGTGGTCCAGGTAATGGCATATCCATTGGAAACATATCAACCCACATTTCAATTTTACCTTGTTCTATACCAGGTTTGTCAGGATTGTATAACGGACGGGATTCTATATGCTCTGGTACAAGCTAAAAGGATTAACAACATAAAAATTATAGAAAAACAAAAATCATATAATAAAATAGCAAACCTTGCAGCCGACTTTTGGAATTTCACCCCAGCGATGTAAGACAGCTAGAGCTAAGTGTTCGTCCCGATTTTTACATGTGGTGGGACCATTCCATGCTATAACTTCTTCATCCGAAAATGTCATACAATACTTACCAATTGCTACACGATCTTGAAAGTAATGTGGGGTATCTAGTTTATTTTCTTTACATATTTTCGAAAGTATCTGCGTAGGCTTAAGTGGATCTCTCCATTGGTTATAACCACCGCTATTAATACAATAAAAAATATCATATGTAACTAAATGTATTTATAAAAAAATATCTTACTCTTCATAGCGCAAAGATAAACCACAAGTCGCTCGATGTTTGCTATAAAAACGATTTTCCAAATCAATACGCGTTTCTCCAATCAAATCATCTGAACCAACTAAATCCCAATCGAATATTTGCATTGTCAACATTGAATCTTGCGGAAATGTGGCTTCTACTTCAAAGCATTTTCCAAATATTGGATTTAATTGCTTACTAACGTAATTATCTTTGTCAGATATGCGTTTGTTGCCCAAATGTAATACTACATAAGGATCGGCTTTACCATTCAAATCCATGGGATGCAAATCAGTTCCCTTAATAATGTAAACGCGCACCAATACATGTATTGGATCATTGGCGGGTAAGTTTGGTATGGGCAACTCTGTACCCTTCGGTGGTGGTAGTTTATACACTTTAATAGCACCTTTGAAAAAACCAACAGTGCGATTATCATCTTCGGTAGAATCACCAGTTTTTTTGCCTCGATAAAGTGCAAAGGAATGTAACCACTCACGGAAGTAATTGAAATCCTGCTGTGCTTCTAGCTCATTAGGATAAATCTGCAAGTGAGCACTTCTACATGCAAACCTACGATTTTTCTTAGAGCTGAACTCAGAACTTACCTGGCATAGCGCAGTTGAATTCATAGCATTTTTTAATAACTGTTGATGTGGTGAAATTTGTGTACTTTGTGGGTCAGTTTTACCACGTGTTAGTCCTGCCATACTTTTTGGACTTAATTTTTGTACAAACTTATTTCCCCTGATACCGGATTTAGTATTACCAACAACGTTTTGTGGCGCCATGAGAAATCTGTCAGCTACAGAAGTTTTTTCTGCTTTTGTAGCATCGATGAGACGTTCATAAGACCAAAAATATTTTGTCCACCAATCGCGACTGAGTTCATCATCTGCATCTTGATCTTTAATTATATTATCGTCTTTATGATGACCCATAAGTGGAGATTTCTTCTTCGGTGTCTGTTTCTTAACCCTAAAAAATGCATTATTATATTATTATATGAGATAATAATGGTTGTAAATGGAGTATTACATTTTTGTGACGCAAGCTGCGCCATACATTGTAAATTGGTCGCATGATGAACGACGTCCACCATAATAGTTTTTTACATTAGGATGTTGCATATTACCTGCAAGCATTGACTGCATACCAAAGCTATCAACTAAGTTACTTAAGCCTTCTTCAGTTAAAGGTGCTGACAGTATTATTTGACCTCCAATGGTTTTGTATTTAGTGATGTCTTCCTTAGGCGGTGGTTTATACATGTAGCGATGAATTGAAGTTATTTGATGTGTGCCAACCAATGTGTACCGCCCAAATGAGCGACAATCAACACATCTTATTGTAATCGGTGGTGCATATGTCTCTTCCAAAGGTAGTTCCAACTCAATTGATTTAAGCATATTTGGAAAATTCGGATTCTTTTTTGTATTTTGTATTATGTTGGAACTAAGAATTTTACCGGAACATTCAACATCAATGCGTGGTTTATCGACAGACATAAAGTGTATACGTTTAAGATCTCTTAATCCCCAAAAGAGTACCTCGAGTTTAAATTTAGCTAAATGTGGGCGTACTTCTTTCGGTACAGGAAAAATAGCTCCAGGAGTTGGTGGAGCGTTACGATCCTTTTTAACTTCTGTTTGTAAAGATTTTGGTTCCGTTAAACGTGGCATATCACTCGAACCAATTTCAAGCATTTCAAATGCGGCTAGCAACTCTCCAGCATTGTCTGGACCACGCACTATGTCAAACCATTCCAGTGATGGTGTGACATAAGCATTTTCACGCAATTTCACACGTGGTTTGGCTATTGCTCGACCAATAAACTCAGATTTACCTACTTTATCTTGATCATAGATTTCAATTATTATTGTAGGTGGATCTTTTTTAATATCATCCTTCGAGCCATAAACTAGAATTTCATCAAAAACTAATAGTTCATCCCATGTGGGGCTCAGTGTTTCTTCTATAACTTGTGTCGTTTTCGCAAACTCAGTAATATAAACTGTAGCATATGGATCACTCAATCCTGAAGCATCTGAACCAATGAGGGAACGGGCTTGATATATATAGGCGCGTAATTGAAAAGTCTACAAATTAAAAAATGGTTATGAATATAGATTTTTATATAATTGTTAAGCTCAGATTAATTTTAAACTTTGAAACGTTTTATTAACTACTAAGTAACTAAACTGCTAACTAACCAATTATTAATAACATAATATCAAACAATTCGGTTTCTTACATATTTTTCCAGATAATGTATATTATTTGGCGCCATTGCACCAGGACGCTCTGCATTTCTAAGCTCGTGCGATAAATCATAACCAATTGGTAGACCATCAAAGAAATGTCCTTTATGGGTAACTACACCCAGCCATAGATATATCGATAGTTTAGCTTGTATAAACCAACTTGCGGGACCTGTGGACTGTCTGCCGGGCAACTGAGTTAAAAAGAGAATAAGATTTAATAACAGAGTTGGAGAGAGTTAAAATAAAAGAGTGATAAGAGAATATTGATTTGACTTACTCTCAGAAATATAGTCTGTATTTGGCCGCAATGAACTCCAGATTCTTCTTCGGTTGTGGAGTAGACCAACTCTCTCGCTGACATGCGGTGGTAGGCATAACGTTTTCCATTCGCTATTAACCAAAGAAAAATGTCGGGCAGCGAATGTTGTGGCTAATAAATTGAGATAAAGATATATTTGCATATTGTAATAAAAATATATAAGCCTTTAATCGAATATAAACTACTATATTATAGTAGTTTTCCATAAATTAACTTACATCATCAATTAAAAACTTAAGTTTCTGTAGGTAGCTTTGTGCTGTTTTGAAACGTTCCTTTAAGGAATTTCTTGTTACCAAAGCGCGTAAGTTACGTGCTAAGTTTCCCAAACTTTCCTATAATAAAAAAGTGATTATAAAATTTTTATCTCTTTATATATTTTTTAACTATATATAATTACAATTTCACGCTGACATAGTTTTTGGCGTTCCTTATCCAATTTTGTCTTACCACTACCAGCACCTAAAGCATTTGTCTTGGTAATAGTTTGATAACGGACGCAAGTGGCTGCTAACTCTTCCAACGTTGTACGCAAACGTACTTCTGCTTTAGGGTCCTCATCTTCGATGTAATGTTTTGTTTCTTGTAAACCATCCTCCTAAAATTTATTTATAAAGCAATCTTGTTATATATATTATTTATATATTTTATATAAAATATATTATATATTTACCAATTTCTCTGTCATTTTAGATAGCATATTGCTATTGTACATTCTACGTCTTAAATCAGGTAGTGTACACCTTACATCCATGCATGGTTTATAATCCCAATAAGGTAAATAATAATGGGATTTATCGTGACTTATCGGCTTGCAAGCACTTGTAGTGCTACTAAAAGAAGTTGTATCGACAGTCTCCAGGACGCACACATCTTCACCATCGTCGGTTGCTGTTGAAAAGCTCTCATTGTGTCCATCCAAGGAGTTCCCAGCATTTCCCATACTAAGCTCGAAGAATACAGTTTTATCACTAATTTTTTTGTCCAACATTGAGGCTTCAATAATTGAACCGAATAAAAAAAATTCTTCATTTCTTGAATAGGAAGACTCTGATATGGGATAAGTTGGTTCGAGTTCAACATTTTTCTCCGTGCTTATTTCAATATTATCAGTTATTTCTGTACGTATTGCTATTAGTAGTCTTGCACGATAACTTACTCCTTCACCAAGACCAGTATTAAGATTTGAATGTTGATCCAGCAATGTATAGTCACGTGTAGAACCATAAAGATGTATAAATGAGGGACCAAATGTTGGTAAAAAACCTTTCTCTCCATCATTGGATATTTGTTTTAGATCAATGTAATGAGTACCAATTATTGAGGGTTTCATAGGATCGGCGTCACGCAGTTGTATCTGAAATAATTATGTAATAATAATTATTATTTAAATAATATGAAAAATTAAATCAGTAAACACAAATTGGGTTTTTCTGATTGGTTAATATTATTATTAAATATTGTTTTACGATCTTTAAGATTATTAAACTTTAATTCTATAGTAAACATTATCTCCATCAGATAACCAGTCCAGTTGTCTTGAGACACATATCACATATGTTATCTAACATAGGGTGCTATCACAGACCTTCTGTTGTCTCGAGAATGCGAAAAATACAAGATCTTCAGACCACTGTTCTATTTTTACTCAGTCTTTATAAAGACTAGATTGAAACTATTAGGTTGTGATGTACTGAGAATACATAATGTTTATGCTCTACGATTACCCGATCTTATTATATTAATCACAGAAATTAAGAAGAACGAAGTAGAGTAGCTTGCACTCTACTCTCTGTCATATACAAATTGTTTTGTTTTATGATTTGCATAAAATGTTAAAGATATTGACTGCCATGATATCATTCAGTCCTCTACCTTTAAATATAAAATGTTTTCTAACTAATTAAATATTTACCTTAATTCTTTGACATAAAGGTGGAAACATTTCAGTAAATACAAGTTGCTCATTCCAAATAGGTGCATATGCATTCCTCTTTACAGTGGTTTTACCCTAAAAAGTTGATGAACAAATGATAAGGAGTGATTAAATTTTATAATTATAGTTTTATTATATATTTACTAGCTTATATAAATATTTAGCTTTTAAAAATAGTAAAATATATAAAATTTTTTTAAACTACGTACTCATTATTGTCTTTATTTAGTACTAAATACAAAAGTACTATTAAAGTACTTAGCGTTAAGGCTAAGTTAAGAAGTAGTTAATGATATGAAATAAATTATATATCATAAAATAAAAAAAATTTAAAAACTAAATTTATTTAAATATAAATGTAAATATTATATTATTAATTAAGAAATTTAGGCATTTAAAATTTATATAAATAAACATACCATTAATCCTGCAAAGGAAACTTGCACATAAGGACTTACTAAGTCCTTTGATTCACCTGTGAATGCCTTTTTCACATTAGCCATTAAAGATGAGTTCATACGGGGTAAACCATCAGCTCGATATATTTTAACTATAAATTTAGCACGTTGACGTTCTATAGGCACACCATCTGGTAGCAGTAGATTACTAATGAGGGGAAGAAGAAGAGTTTATTTTGTCCTATGTTTCAACTAAGCAAAGAAAAGAACTCACGCTTCGATGTCATCGGGATCTTTTTCAGATTTTTGAGGCACCTTTACGGTATCACCTTTTCCAATAATTCCAATATCACATTTTAAATAACCTTTAGGCCCACTATAGAAATCATCAGGATCAGAGAGTAACGCCCATTTATGATAGAATTGATGATCTAGTATGGAAAGTTCACATAAGATCAAAATTTTATTATAATGTGTATGATAATATATTTATATTCAATATTATAAGTATTAAATATTTATAGTAAAAAAGATATTAACAAATTTCATGCAAAAACGAGTCAAAAATATTTTATATTTAATAGAAAAATTGTTGTTATTGAAAGTAATAATAATATAAAACTTTTATTTGGTATTTCTTTTATATATTTTACTTTTATATACAATGATATATAAATTTTTTGAAATACAAAATGTGAATGTAAAACAAACAATATATTATATACATATTACGTAGTTTAATAAATTGTTTTAAAGTGAAGCAATAGTAGCCAAAAACTAAATAAAAATAATTAATACATAATTCCATGGATTGATTTCTCAGAATAATATCTGATTTTCTATTTATTTAATTAAAATTCGACTGAATTGTATGACTACATAATTTAAATTTTTTGTATATATTATTATATTGTAGAAATCATAACTACAGAGCAATTCTTCGTAACTCTTATAAAGTTACTATAACTCTCAAACTGTTGACAACAACGTATCTTAACTTTTCATAACGACGGCTAAAATATCTCAGCAGATTGAGTCTCAAATGGTTGGGATAATAGAATTTACATAACAGTCTTATGAAGCTATATTTAAGCAAAAAATATAACGGGCAATTTTTAAAGTTCTCGAAAATCTCAATCAATGAACAAATTACTTGTTCATGGATTCATATCCATAGCACCATATAACAAAACTGGTACTACTATGAAAAGTTAGGTGATTATCGCACAGTCGGAAAGCAACTATATCTGCTTTAGAAATAGTGCTTGAATAGAACGAAATTTTTGTCTCAATATCTAATAAATGTCAGCGACTAATCGTATTGACAATTCTTTATCATAAATGATACTGGATTGATCATATCATCCGCAAATAGGCTCTCCTGAATAGACTAATATAAGAAGGGTTATTGACAAACATAAAGTAAAGTTGAGAATCAGTAATCATATGGTGAGAGCAGTTGGAATATTAGTTAGTGATAAGAAATCAAAGAATGTACTGTAGATAAGTTTAGATTCGCAATTGGCATCTTTTTAAAAGATATGCAGATATGGTAATCATACCGATTGTCTAAAAGTTGTAACCTCATAGACCGAGAGATTCGCTAACAAAAAACAGTTGGCTTAATATAAGCTAGTACAATTTCCGAATATCACAATCTTTGTGAACAGTTAGAGAAATCGGAACGGTGCAATCGAGGATTATATTGAAATATCATGTTTTATTGATAAACATCAAATATCAATAGATTTCTCTTTACTGAACTTCTAGACATAGCAATATTGACAGGAAAGAAGTAGCAGAGAAATGACTTAAAAAGATTTTGAAGTGAACATAAGTGAAGTCGGCACTAGGTACTAATGTGTAAACTGTTTGGAATCATTGAAGGTTTTACTATAGTGGTGACAAATGACTTGTGGACTAATCATGAAGATTGTAGGGTTGCTAGTATCTTATTGTTTAGACTAGACAGAAGTAAAATGAAATGCTTTACAAATTTTAGGATAACTGCAGTTCGTGTACTTGCACCGATGTTAAACAGTAGTATATTCTGACAAAGAATTGTGCAGGGATCGGCATGATGAAGAAAATTTAGAATCCATTAATCACTTTTCATATCTTCGTATGACAATATAGACGAAGCAACTTTTATGTCTTAAAGGTTGTTTCTTCATTGGACTGACAGATATAACAAATGTAAAACTTTCCGATTTGTTTAGATTTATCTGGAAATGCAAAAGGTTTAACAACAACTATACATGGGGATAACAATGACTAATGTAACTCGCCTATCCCAAGCAACTTTGAGGGCATCACCATGGAAAATAAATGTCTCTATGTGGAACTGCGTAGCGAACTCAAGATCAAACTTAATAATTCTGTTGCTTTTATGTTTCTTTTTAAAATAAAAGAAAATAGTAATAATAATAAAGGTAGTATGTATTAATATTCTAAAGTATTTTCTATATTATTTGCTGTTGTATAACAACAGATATGTCTCGGTGCAAGTGCTGATAGTTTCATCAATACGCGCTATTTCAATCTAACCTTACTTAACTACTGATAAAGCAAGAATTTTGTTGAGGATTTTTGTTTCTATTAGAAATAAAATAAAACAATAAAAATAAAGGTAGTAAGCATTAATATTCTTTAGTATTTCCTATATTACTTGTTGTTGTATAGAACACTTTGTTGCTTAGAACACTTTGAACTAAATGTGCTTTAGAAACTTTAAACAAATTTTTAATTGAGAATTCTATTTCCCACAATTTATTACTGAATCATACCACTTAAGAACATGAAAAATTAAATAAAATTTTCTTTTGATATTAGTCTAAAGCACTTAACTTAGTAATTGAAATTATAGATACACATTTAAACTGTTATCCTTTATCCTTTTTGCAAATTCAAAGCCAAGAAGATATAATAAGCAATTAAAGTTTGTTTCCTTTCATATTTTCCCACCCTATTGTAAAATTGAAAAACATTAAACATCATAAAGCAATTTAATATAAACCTAAAAATACCATTCCTTCAATTAATATCATTTTAAACACAACTCGCTACAGATTACACTTACTTCACCATGAATACAGTCAATTTAAATGTAAAAATCAATTACAATCTTAATTAACATTACTGTTTACACTTTACCTTTTCAGAATCAGTTTCTGGTTCAAGGAGTTTAGAAGGTAATTTCTTTTTTTTTTTGTTTTTTTTTTATTTGGTATGTGAAAGGGCAAGTATCATGGAATTAGTGTTTTAAATCAAAAAACAAACATCTCATGTGCTCCTTGGAGAAAAAACATTAAGCGAAAAGTTATGTTTTTATTTAAAACTTAACAAATAAAAAATTACAAAAAAAAAAATAAAGGCAAGAGCAGGCAAATATGTTAGCATGAAGAGCAGGAAGAATGAATATATATACAAAAAATTTTTCAAATACAATTTTTAACAATAAAATATGCTGGGTATGTGAGATTATTTCTTTTAGCAATGAAATTCAAAATACCATATGCACACACACTCTTACAAAATATGTCAGGCGTAAAGAAAATTACATTCAGCCGAAAAGTAGACAACAAAATGTGTAAGAAAAAATTTTTAAGATAAAATTTAAGTTGAAGTAACTAAATGTGATGTTTCAAAGGACATTAGAATTCCTAAGGAAGAAGACGGTATTGCTATAGGTATGCTTGTAAATGTTAGTTAGTATTTTTGGGAATGCATATAATTGTAAATATGTGTGAATAATATACATATGTTTTAATGTGATGTGCTATTTATATATATATATCTGTGTGTGTATGTATGATTGTTGTTTACCTTTATGATTCCAAACAGTAGCAACATCCAATTTGAAGTTACCAATAAGTTTGTTAGGACGTAGGACACTGCGACTTTGTAGCACCTTTGGTGTTATTTTTCATGAATTTTTTATTATGTTTGGTTTTTATTGAATTTCGAATTAATATGTTATTATTGCCATGGTGTTTACATGTGTTTGTAGGTTTGTGTGTGTAAAATGCGGGCAAGGTTGGCATATTAAGTATATAATAGAATTTTGATTTTGGAAAGTTGTAAAATATTTTATTTTTGTTTTTGTTTATTTAAAGTTTTGAATTGAATTTTTTAGAATATCAAAAGTAAATAAATAGAGTAAAAAACGTATTTGAATGAAAAACAAGAAGAAATAAACCAGAAAGAAAGAAAAGAAAGAGAGTAGAAACATCATTACAATCAAATATATTAAAGTTCAATAAATAGAAGTTTGGCAAATTCAATGAAGATGGAAATTTTCAATTTACATTGATGATCTTTAAAGTTTCTTGTTTTTTTTTTTTGTAATTCAAGAGATATGCTTTAAGTAGTAATTAAATAAAATGACATAAAATTCTGTTCAGTAGTTAAACTTTCAACATAACATATGCATTACATACATACATTAAACATATATTGATAACATTTATAAAAAAAAGAGCATAACGATATTAATTGTAATTATTTAAGTACCAGGCGCATCATAGACGGTTGATAAGTCTATTTTAAATGAACCCACAAGCGTACCAGAACGTAGAAACTTCCTTGATTGTATGACCTGATATGTTCATTAAGTTAAGGGTAATAATAAAAATTTTTTAATATTTCATAATTTGTTAATATAAGTATTTGTTTCTAACTTTTTGAAATAAATGTGTGATTTATGTGGAAATTTTAATTAAACAAAATTTAAACGACAATAAATTACTTGATTTTATAAAGATTTAAAATATTTCTTAAGAATAATAAATCGATATAAGACAGATAATATAAAAGACCATTTTAAAAACCATGTGACATCAGTTAACATTTATATAGAAACCCATGATTTTTTGTAAGAAAACACCTTCAAGCAGTATGTGTTAGAATATTATGACAATATGACTTTTAGTTAATAAATCAGAATGGTTTTTTGACATCGATTGGATGGTTTAAGTGAAGGCAGAGTTCCAACAGTAGTCCAATTACCATTTTGTTATAACAGACTTTGATATGCGACTCCAAGTAAAGACTTTATTTTAAGAATTCATATTTATGATGTCCGGTAAACAAATTAGTCCGTAGACAACTGCAGTGGAATGTATCAATCTTCTCAGACCTACATGTCAGCAAACCAATATTCAGCTATTTCTTTTACAACATCTTTCTTCTAACTGCTGCAGTTCTGATTGTACAAAATCTGGAATTTTCTACAGTGACTACAGTAGAAGTTCTGCGATAAAGTCAATCTGCTAAAGGAGTTGAAAGCCCTATCTCATACAGCTCACAATATAAACGGTTGTTTGAAAAGTTTTGAAAGTAAATGTGAAATAGTCTGAATTTTTTAATAAAATTAGTCAAAATAGTCTACCGCAACTTCAACACAATTATTCTAGGGTTGCTTTAATAATTTTATACCATGTCTGTAATGATTTTTCGGAAGCTTTGCAATATACTGTTCCACCCTTTCCATGAAGGAATAGCTTCAAATTTTTGAAGAAGAAAAAGCTAGACGGATCCAGATCTGGGAAATATGGTGTGTGTTCAAGCAATTTGTATAAATTTTTTTGCCGATGTTTCTGACTTTATCTGCTTAGAGCTGAATAATTAGCTTCAGACCACTACAAAGGTTTTTTAGTTTAGGATCATGATGGTAGATTCAGGTCTCATCCATAGTTATAAAACGACGAACAAAATTAATTTTATTTTGCTTAAAATTATGCAGGTTACGACGAATAATTTCTTTTCAATTCAATTTTTATTGAATTTTTAATGAATGCGGTACTAACTTTCTGAATAGCTTCTACATACGTAACTCTTTTTTAGAAATATAGACTAGTCGTTCGTCTGAAACTCCCATGGTATCAGCAATTTTGAGCTTATTCAAACTTGTATCTCTACGAATAATGTCGTGGACTTTGTCAATGTTTTATGGTGATGTTGCACTTTTTGGACGCTCACTAGGTGGTTCATTTTTAATAGTTGTATGCACAGGTTTAAACTTTATAATCCATCGATGAATAGTTGGAAATGAAGTTGGAAATGAATTTATGTTACTGATAAACTTTCTAAAACTTTATCACTGAGCAATATTAGGGTCTATTTTAAGAAATCACTGGTACGTCAGCTTTAAATGGGTTGTAAAAAGAATTGAATTCACAGATCGAAATTATCATCTGTGTATTCAGATAAAAGATGAAATGTCAAAATGGCGTGTATATAAGTCAACCTGTATATAAAGTATTGGATGAAGTGTTATCAGTATTGTATTGAATTCAATAGTGTTTAGTTCAAAAGTTAGAAAATAAATGTTGAACATTTTAAAATATGTTATCATTATTCGATTGTTTTATCAAAAATTCCAGATATTATGTATATTATATATTGAGGTATATTGATTTATAACTCTTTTCTAAAACAAAATTCTAATTTAATATCTAAAGTTCAATTCAATGCTCTAAGGATTTTTAACGTAACAGTGATTTAAATAGAACGGAAAGAGACATTTTGTTAAAAAATGAATACAAGAGGTAAAAAATATAATTGATATTTTTTTTCTTTATCTCTCTCCATAGCCAAAGTAATACTTCCTTTTGAAGTCAATAAAAAAAAATAAATTTATATTAATTTTTATATTCCTAGACAATTTTTGTGTAAACTATTAACTTTTATCATATTATTAAGGTGTTTTCATTATTTTTATTACTAATTTTTCTAAAAATAAGTAATTCATTTAGAAATTCATTAAGAAATTAATTTTAATTTCTTGATAATAAGAAATTTAAAATTTTAGGTATTATGACAAAAAAACTATCTTCAAATAGAAATGTAATTAATAGGCATTGTACAATTTTTACCTACATATTTTTTAATAACCGACTTTTTAGTTTGGAGAAATTAAAAGCCTTTTTTCAACCTTTGAACTATGTTGTCAATTTTTCCATCAAAGATTACGTTTTCAAGGTAAAGCACTTCTACTCGTATGTGTAAGAAGATTATTGACGATTATTATAGCTAATCGTTGATTACTCAAACCATTAAGTTTTCTTCTTTTGTAAATGAAACAAAACACAATTCAGTAATTGTGCTTGGCAGGTGACTAATTAATTTAATAATTATAACTTGAAATCAAATATCCTTCCGCATATACAATTCCCAGTCACGTTTGCAATAGTTGAGTTATCAGAAAATGAGAAAAGGTAGCTGTACTGGGAGCAAAACTTATTGATTTATGCGTTTAACTAATTTGTTGAAGATTTTTATAATGAAGTTGATGGCTTTCTTTCAAAGAATAGAAAATGTCATTTAAAAAGTTTGTGGCGATAAATAAATAAAAGCAATTAAGGACTTGGCCTTTACTAATTAGTTAAGCCAGAAGTTAAGTTTTGTTTTCCCAGAACTTGTAACTTTTCAAGCTGTTCGATTGAGTTACCTATACAATATTTATGCTTTAAATTAGTGGCTTTCTTGGAATTTTTATTAAAATTATATTTACTTAAAAATTTGATACAGTTCAAAGTGATGTTAAAGTATACATTTGCTTTTATTTACGAAGTTGTGATTTTATAATTAAGAATTTGAAAAGTTTGCGGCTTATGATATTATCAGTCAAATTCTATTTACTTAGGGACCTGCCATTATTTCGCAATAGTTTTTTTTTTAAATGTTAACATTTAATCCTTCCTGTATTGTCTTGTGCCATTATTAACTAATTTTATGCCGTAATGTCTGCAAGCAGCATCCCTAATCGACACCAGTAAAAACAGACTAAAACACAAACTTTTGTCGGTTATAAGCTCATTCAGGTGTCTCCTTGCCTAAGGACACATTTGTTTAAATGTGTGTGCGTGTGGAGGTGTGGTTGTGTACATTTAAACTGCTGAAGTAATTTACCAAAATATACCAAGTTGGAGCTCCACTTTTGTAATTTGTTTTAATTGAATAATTACAATGTTTGTGGATAATTAGTTTCATTTCGCAAACAAACTTACTTACCGACAACGTTATAATTTTATCGAATAACATGACTGGTGGCATATGGAAATCAAAAACAAAATACTGTAAATATAAATTTTTATTAGTGACATTAAGATTTGTTGCTTAGGTAATAAATAGGCAATCTTAAATTACCTCATTATAGTAAGGACAATTTGTGCTCTCCTTCACACTTGTGTATTTTTTTTGATCTCCGACTTGTATGCAAACTACAGGATCCATATTTAAGCCTGGTAATTGTCGTGCTTCAATTATTGTGATGCATACTTGAAAATCTTGAGATTTCAAATGGTCCGCTGTGCGTGTCATTGCCTTAATCCTTTTCAAATGAAATGATACGAAAAAGATTAAATATTTTTGGCAATTCCAATGAAAGCATTGGTACTTCAATTTACATTTTGCCTTGATCGAAATGTTGCAACTCTTCCATATCACTTGATTGATTCGATTGTTCACTGTCAACTGCACCAGGTGTACCACTTAATAGTTGACGTTGTTGTTGGGCATCATCAGTTTCACCTTCAGTGGCAGTTGTCGTTGCCAGTGTGCCGTCAGTTTCGAATATTAATGGAGATCTATTTACACAAAAGGACATAAAATTCCAAAAAGTTATACATAAATTTACGAATTTGCACGTGCATTAAGGCAAATGTAAGGCAAGAAAATTTATATTATGCATTAATGGAATATTGAAGGAAAGATTGGTCCGCAAAATAAACAAATATAAAATATATATAAGTATGCAAAAATTTATATGTTGCTCATAGATTTATGTCCTTTTACAAAGGTTTATGAGAATAAAACTTCGTTTAAAAGTTTGAGAATTGCACGCTTATGTCAGCACTAATGGGTTAATATTATTCTATAAATCTAATATAAATTAGTTTTGTCTAATAAGGTGCACAATTAATATAAATCAGATAAAAATTTAGCTTTCCAAATAACAGTTTCTTATCTCAAGTCCTGTTGTACTTATATTTTATAATTCATAATTTGCAATTTATGCTGTCGTACATAAGTTGTCTGCAAATTAATCCTGTTGAAAATAATGAAATGCGAATTTTTGCAAATGCGGATTAGAAGTTCTTAGTCCTACTTTTTGTCGTTAAGATATAAAATGTCATCCTTAAGGTTGTTATTATATATTTTTTGGTAACAACTTTTGTGACATTAATTTAAATTATATTTTTTTATGCTTACAAGCAAAATTCTGTTAAGGATTTTATGACGTATGGCAATATACATTAAATGTACTCTTATTTCTCATTACAAGGACTATAAGGATGTGTATGTAAGTTCTGTTGATTATTTTGTGTTTTGAATTGTCTTAAATCATTAGACAAATATTTGGATTCGGTAGTTGATTTTGATGTTATTGGTTATTGGATATCATCTCATTATTATTTTTGTTCTTAAAGTACTTAAAAGATATCCGTAATTGCTTTTTGTGTTGTTGTTTCTTTTTCAACAATTTTCGAATATGTGTTTTTTGGATATTAAATATATTAAATTTAACAGTGGTTAAATGAGTAAGAAGTTTGTTTAATTTCTATATATGTAACTTTCGCTTAATTACGAAAAAAACTTAAATAAATATAACAATTAAAAGAATAAATATAAGAAATTAAATACCCCAAATAAAATTCATTATTATCAAAATTCTGAAAAAAAAATTAACGTTTTAATTTATGAATTTTAAAGAAATTCTAAGAAGTTAGTATATTTTAGGCTCTTCTTACAACAATTACGATTTTCAACATAATTTATTATATGAGATTAGATAATTATATTATATTCTTATTATTATATAATTAAAAGAGGGTAGAAGAATAATTACTTTAAACACAATTAAATTAAAAAGTAAAATAATTCTCTTCTAATACCTTAAATTGGTTTATTACTACAAACGCCTTATGTTCTCGATGAAATATGGTAAGGCTACCGTTACTGACATAGAATTTATTTACTTTTATACGACTCTGCTACTATGGTTAATAGATTTTTATCATATGTAAGGACATTATTTACTAATGGATATGGATGTTCTATACATACAGTAGGGGGGTTAGCGGATAGATCCTAATGATAATATAATTTACTGCCAAGAGAATATAGTTCATACCACTTCTTGGCACAATCATGGGTAAGCTTTTGATGAATATAGTAAAATCCGAAATTTAGTTACATTCATAAGATTAATTAAATTGTGGAATAGTGTACTTAAACTAAAAATTTTTTCAACTAAGATGTAATCTTTGTTATCTTTACTCTTTGGGCTATTTAAATTTGGAAAAGGTATTCACTGAAACCGAGAAGATTCTATAATAATATTAGTCTATAATACATCTTAAGTTGTATCCCTTCTTTATATCCCTTCTTTATCTACTTTTATTCTTTATTTATATATCTACTTCGTAAGTGAATGGAATAATAGAAATAACTTTAAGTACACAAATGTGTCAAATCCAATGCTTCAGTCTATTGACCTGGATTTAACACAGCGATTCCAATGGGAATTTCTTTCATAGTTTTTTCGGTAAACTGTATGACATTAAAAACTGTATAGTTAAAAGCCTATATGGCCGATTTTTAAGCGTTAATATTATTCTATATTCAGATAGTCAGGCAGTTAAAAAATTGATTCAACCTAGATCAATGAACCCTAGTTGGTCATAAACTGTTAAAATCACATATCTGGGTTATCTACTAAATATAAACTAAAATTTGTCTGCATACCTGATTATAAGAAATTCGATTTAAACGAAACTGCTGATAAGCTTACGGAAAAGAATCAACCTTCTTCTTTGTGATGTGATGTTTTTTGCAGAATATCCACTTGTCAGATTGATTCAATAATTGGAAACATCGAATAGCAAACAACTAATTTGAGCGAACAACAAAACTTCTAAGTTTTTTCCAATTCTAAGCTAAGATTAAACACTGATCACATTGATTTTCTAGTAACTGTGAAAGATGGACTTAATGGACACTGACACCTGCAGATCCTGTGAGGATTGAAACTTCTTCCTCATAAGATGGGTCTGAAAATAAGTCTAGTACCTTTATTCGACTTCTATTGAACAAAATGTTGTTCAGAATATAGAAGAGTTATAGTACAATATAAGATCTATTGTACTATAACTCTTAGGGCGCTTAGTATGATAGTATAATAATGTATGTATAATTTCTTTTTTAATAATATGTATAATAATTATATATAATTATATAATAATAATATATAATACATAGTAACACATAATAATAATATATACCAATACAATAAAAATATTATAATAATATCACTTAGTAAACATTTATACTGAATACATAAATAAATTTACGTATGTTAATATAAATAATTTTTAACATAATTGTTTTGGGTTTTTTTTTGTTAAAAATTTGTTTAATTTAGTATTTATTTACTTAATATTTGTCAAAATTAATTAATATAAATTGTTTCTATTTTTTTTTTAATTTCTACTTGTAAGTAGGATTTTACTGTATTTATATTTTTTGAGAGATAAAAAATGGTTTATTTAATTTATTTTTTAAACAAATAAACATTAAATAAGTTTTTTTTTTAATTTATATCTTTGGAGTGTAAAATTTAGCTTAATTATTTAAATTCTTTTTTAAATAAATAAGCATCTTATATAATAAATATACATATATAAAAAAATCATTTAAGTAAACCATTTTGTTATTCGTTAAAAAATTAAAATAATAAAGTTAACTATTTTATAGCTTCAAATAAAGGTAAAAGGTATTTCTTTTTGAAATTACCCACAATAAAATGAAATGTTTACAAACGCCCCATCATTTACAAAAGTTTACCATCAACTATATTTTAACGCTTGCAAATGTAGGAGGAACTCGACATGCGATTAAAATGCATCTAAAGGACATTTAAGTAAACGCGCTTGCTGTGGTGTGTAATTAAGGCTGAAATGCATAAAGCATGTAGCATAAGCGGCAAGGAGTTTTAAAGGTGGTACCAGTGCAATTTGAGGAAAAGTATTTCAATTATTTAGTAGCTCAAACCATAATTTTATATTCGCTTCAACAAATCGATTTAAAAGAGATATTTAGTTTCAGGACGCTTTACACTTTTTTCCAATAAAAATATTACTTCTTATTGATATAAAAAATTAATTTAAAAATATTCATTATTATAAAATATATAAAATTTATTAAATTTACAGTTTTCATTAAATTTTTCTTAATAATTCTGATGAACTAAATATAGTCACTCATACGCCCCGTTAACCTACATAAAAACCTATAATATGGTTATTGTTATTCTAAGTTAATTGTGAGTCTCTGTCGCTATTTGTTTCTCTTTAATAATTATGATAATTAACAGTCTTAAATAAATTTCTAATTATTTTTTAAATTATATATTGAAATGAATTTTATTATAATGGATAACGCTATCCATTTTGTGGTTCATATTTGGCAGCACTGTTTCAGCGACATATCTTACACAAAAGTGACATTATGCATTTATCTTAAGGTTTGCTGTTTTATAAAACAAAATGTTTTATAATGGCTAACGGTGTTAGAATTGTAAAAACTTAGTGAAAAAAATAGGGAAATTTCTAGTATAGAATTTTGTTCAGTAATCAGACTCATCATTTTTTGCAACTAAATGTTAAAAGTCTAAGATATCTGTATTTGGTGTTTAGTCTGGAGATGTAATATACTTGCATTATAGATGTAAAAGAACGATGGTTTCAACAGAATGGTTCTACAGGTCACACAATATCTACTGTTTACACTTTGCATTGAAAGAAATTTTATGAAGATTTTTAAATTATTGAGGTTTTTCGACCTCAATAATTGAGGTCTTCAATATTTCTATTGAAAATATGATAATATTGAAGCTTTGCTATACTAAACTGAGACTGTTTGGATACATCATTTTTACGACTTTTGGTGCTTTTTAAGTGAGAGATTTTTCCATGATGTTTTTTTATTTTATATGTCTCAGTTAACATTGGAAATAAATCCCACTCTCATATTATATTTACCAATCCTTAGACTATCTAAGGTAAGCTAAGTAAACAAAGTGGTAGTGTACAAAGAGGGTATCAAAACATAATTTTGAATAAACCGACATTTATATTAGTTTTTATTTAAACACATATTAATATTTTGAGATTTTTCTACATTTGTACTTTAATCGTATCATATTAATATACATTAGTAAAATCTGAATAAAACTTGATTACTTTTAATATAAAATCCAAATATGAATGTTTGTAATAATTTATTCAATTTATTTAAATAATTATTGTGTTGATAATTATTGTTCTTTTTTTTGAATTTTTTATATAAATTATGTATAATATTAAAATTTCCTAATATGAGATAAAGTAATACAACAGCTTAATTCTCACGGTTCTTAAATTTCAGCAACGAATTTCATAATTCGTTGTTATAATTTCATAAAATTGAAATATATTTATTTTGTATATTTGCTATGTAGAAAAATAAGTACATTAATATTACAAAATATAAATATTTAACAAACATCTGCATATTTCATATCAGCATCATGAAATTATTTCGACTT